AACTTGGGAGTCAAGAACACCTGAGTTCGAATCCAGCTTTTCAGATACACAACGGCTGTGTGACTCTGCACAAGCCTCTTAAATTTTCACAGCCTCAGCTTCCTCATCTGTAAAGTGGGGATAGTAATTATCTCCCAGAGTTGCGGTGAGGATCATTTATGTAAACATTTTGCAAACCTTTAAATAGCTGTATAAAACTATTTATTATTATTGACTGATTCAATAAAGAAGTTTGCTTAACAATAATCTTTTACATATACATGATATTCAACAGAATTTCAGTGGGCATGTGTCCTCCTTTTTGGCAGCCAGCTCAATTTCCCAAACTTACTTCACAATGTATATTTTAAGAAGCAGAGGAAAAAAATAAACACTTATTAAGAACTTACTATATATGAGGCACTGTGCTAAGCACTTTTAGCAACTGATCCTTAAAAAAGAATATTTGGGTGCAAAAGTCATAATTCCCTTCTCTTTTCTTCCCTCCCCCAAATTCAAGCCACACATGAAATTCCTGACCAAATTTCTCACAGTTGTGCCTAGCACTGAGCCAGCTACAAATAACCACTTATTAAATGTGGTTTAGGATCTCTGCCAACTCTCATTGTACCTACACTATCTTCAGTCTAATGATACCTTCCCCAGCCTCCACAAGCCAAAAAGCCAAATAAACAAAACAAAACAATTAAGTTAAGTGGACTAATTAAAATTTTTGAGTCTCTCCTTCAGAACCATGTATGAACAGGGGTTCTTAAAATGGCATCTGGGAACTTATTTCAAAAAATTACTTAACTGTATTTAAATGTAATCGGCTTCCCTCACAATGTTATGTATTTTATTTGACACATTTAAAAACATTATTCAGAGAAGGGGCCTAGGCTTCACCAAATCCCTGATACAGAGGGTACAGCAAGTATGGCCTTGCCTATAGTCTTTAGGGGAGCTAGGTCTGTGGCTGAGAGGTCTCTTGTACCCTCCCATCACAAGGTTTAAATCTAAATTCCAGAGGAACTAATCCTCTAAGTAAATGTACATTAAATGGAGACTGATGTCCAGTACTGCCAGATTCAAGAATACCTAAAAACAGTCATGACCTCTGCTTTCTCCACACCTTGTGGCAATCTGAGAAAGACACTATACTTGGAGGTACAAACCCTGGACTTGATTGCCCTCAGGGAAGTCACTAGTCTTCTCTAGGTCTCAGTTTCCTCATCTACAAAGTAGGGAGTAAGAATACTAACACCACCAACCTCACAGGGTTATTACAAAGAAAGCATTCTGTAAACCTGCATAAGTGTGATTATTATTCTGAAAATTGAAAAATTTTGAAATATCTGAAAAATAGGGAAATCAATGACAAGAAAAAAAGAAGAAAAAGATGCCCTGAGCTCATGCATGGTATAATCAAGATTTGACTTCACATAGTACAAACTACTTAAGTCACAGCTAAAAAAGGCATGTGTTCTCGGGTTCTGGCAGAAGATTAGTCTGAACAAGTAAGGAGGCCAAGGAGAGGAAACCATAAGTGAGACTATTCCGTATCCCACAGCCAAAATGAAATTTTGAAGGCAAATGTGTAGAACCTCAGACCTTTTTTTGGCAGTAAAAAGTAACAGAGATTGCTATAGGAAGTAATGATAGGGGTGGTGGCTGGCATGTATGGGAGTCATCACACCCTAGATGTAAGAACCATGGATGCTCAGCAAGTGTTTCTATATTGGCTCTTGATGAGAATATGTGTATATATAACCAGATCTACATGCTTCCTATAGAAAAGTCTCAAAATTGCTTATTTTGAAAAATTAAGATGTTAGGGGAGAGACCTTTTTTGAAAAAGAAAGTGACAATGCCTTTATTCACTATGAAGATTCAATTAAAAATAAAAGGACAGGGGAAAGGATTGATGTGCAAAGTAAAAAGGACCTCTTAAAATGCCGTATTGTTTCAAAAATAAAAATCAGACAGCAAAAGCATCTGCGGCAGCTGTGAAAGCATTCAGTTGCCAAATGGAGGTGTTTTCTCTTCTCACCACAGCTGTTCAGCTCAAGGAATATTTTGTTTTCCTTTTTCTCTGAGCTTCTGAACCCAAAATACTTAGCTGTAAAATATGATGGGCTGCATTTGAATTTTCTTTAATTGGCTGCCACCTTGTGGAAATCTCTGGGAAAGTAGCTTGACCCTTCATTCAAGTTCAAAAATCAGAGAGTTTTTATAACAATGTAATTATACACCATCTTGCAAACTGACCATCTTCACCAGCTCTCCGAGCTCGAAGGGACCTCATAGGCCATCTAGACTAAGGGTTCTTAGACTGGGTCCACAGACCCCTCCAAGAAATCTATCAACAGATTTCAAATTGAGCAGCTAAGTGTGCATTGGATAGAGTGCCTGGACTGGAGTCAAGAACACCCATCTTCCTGAATTCAAATCCGGCCTCAGACACTAGCTGTGTGACCCTTGGCAAGTCACTTTGCCTTGTTTGCCTCAGTTTCCTCATCTGTAAAATGAGCTGGAGAAGGAAATGGCAAACCACTCCAGTATTTTTGCCAAGAAACCTGGAGTCAAACATGACTGAAAAACAACTGAACAACAGATTTGAAAAGTCCTTGAACTTGGCTGGATAGGAGAAAAAATTATTTATTTTCACTACCTATAACAGAATTTTAATTTTTCCTTCGATTAGGAAGATATGCATCAAACCACAATAGTATTAGTTGTCCTCATGACTTTGTCACTGATAGAAATCCCAGATACTTCCATATTCACATTAGTTGTTGCAGGTATCTTGAAATAGTATATGCTCATAACTACTCTAAAATTACTGCATTTATTAGACTCTTTAACTTACTATATTTTAAATGCATTGTTTTGTTATTTAACGCAATAAAAGAACCTATATTACAATATCAAATTTGATTTTAAAAGTATTTTATAACTATCTCAACATAAATGAAATATATTTGATAGCTATTTCAATATAATTGAAATGTATAACTGAAATTTATAATACATTTTACTTTATGCATTTAAAAGTATTTTTCTGAGAAGGGGTCTAGGCTTCACTAGACTGTTAAAGGATTCAGGTGAGTTAAGAATTTCTAGACTAGTCTTTTTTCTTTTCTGGTGAGGCAACTGGGGTTAAAAGTGACTCGCCCAGAGTCACACAGCTAGTGAGCATTATGTGTCTGAGGCTGGATTTGAACTCAGGTCTTCCTGACTCCAGGACTAGTGCTCTATCCACTGTGCCACCTAGCTGCCCGTGACTAGTCTGACTTTTAACTGAGCCAGAATTTCATTCACATGAAGTGGTTATATACCACCCTCACATATTTTAGACAGGATTGTGCCAATCTTTAGTAAGGATTCCAAGAGCATGAATAATGATTAATCCAGATAATTTTATCATTCCAAAAACTTATTTGAAGTACAAATTATGCTCTTCAATTTTCACATGGTAGGTGAAGTTTTTACTTGGAAAATGAGGTGTGGGGAAGAACTTATATACTACTTAGAAAAAAATTACATCTGTGAGGCTGGTTCTATACCTCAGATTCAATGAAAGTATCAGCACATATATTAGGTACAATGGAGAACAGGGGTCACTACTTTTTCCAAAAGATCATCCATTTTCCATTTCCACGAAGGCTTAAGATTGATTATGGAGAAGTAAAGGGAGAAGGAGTGGAACAAAGGAGAAGAGCCAGGATATTGAGGGGAGGGAAACTTTGTCCAAGACCTGACAGTGAGTGGGGGCAAGCTGCGGCTGGGAGTGTAAGGGGAGAAGAGAATAGGCTGCTATGTCTCTCTCCCTCTAATGCGTAATGGCCCAAGCTTGACAGGGAAACATACTGCCGACCACTGGCCCCATAATCAATCAGGTGAGGCCTCATCATAGACAGGCCAGTCATGAGAACAATAGTTGGGCATCTAGCACAGACATTTAATAACAAATGCATAATGATTATTGAGAGTCTAGACTCTCCAAGACAGGATCATCATTCTTTTTTTAACAGAACAACGGAACAAAATGCACTTAAGATAATCTGGTAACCCCCTAGACGAATTTCAGTAACAGAAAAACCCTGCATGTAAATTATATCCTCAACTAAGCTGTTGTAACTTAAAACAAATTGGAGGAAAACAGCTAGCAAAGAATCACAATTGTGATCTAAAGATCAGAAGCAATTATGGAAGATGACCACACTTAAGATGTGAAGATGCACTTTTCTGACACAAATACAGGCAACTAGGATAGAATCACACATCATAAACGCATTAAAAAGATTCAGTACAAAGGACTATGTGAGTGGTGAAAGTTCAATACTAAGGTGAGGAGGAGTTAGGAAAGGCTTCATGGAGGAAGCGGCATTTCAGTTGGGCTTTAAGGTATTCAAGGAACCACTGTATGTTGGGAACATGGAGAGGGAAGGCAGGGTTTACCATATGTTGAGGGATCTGGCCAGGCTGGTCTTAAATGCTAGGCAAGAGAAAACAGACTTCATTCATCTGACAACAGGGAGTCTGTTCACAAGAAGGACTCTTCCCAGGTGACTATATTTAATAATCTCTTTTATGTTGAGTGAGCCCTACCCTTTCTTTTTCTCTAAATACAAATAACAAGGCACTCTCCTCTCTTCTTCCCCAATTTTGGCTGGACAGTCAACAGTCAGACTCCAGGAAATGAAAGCTCTCTGGAGTTCAGCGTGTCCTGCTCCCCAATCCCAAATCCAACAATAGCAGATCAGTTGTCAGCTTAAGACTTAAGAGACAAACTATTTGAATTACTTGAAAATAACTACCTGTAAACGATAAGGATTTCTGGTCTTGAGGCTGCCATTTTCCTGTATAATGGCCAATTACTCTTAATATTTTCATTTCCTTGGGAGGGTATTTGTCACTCAAAAACATCAAACTTCACAGCCTACCTTTTCAAAAACATCATATTTCATGGCTCAGTTCCAAATTCTGTCCTGCAAGGCTGCCCCATGCGGGCTATTTACCTTGCTTTGAAGCTGAGGAGTCTTCCATGGGCAGGTCATTGTCATGGCTCCTTTCCTCTGGAACAGGCACTGCAGGGCAGCTTCCAAAGGCCCATGGGCCCCTACCACCAGCACCTTCTTCCCATCTATGATGAAATCTGAAAATTAAAAAAAGGCCCCAATCTATCATCATCATCAAGATTTTTGTCCTTTTCTATGAGTCCTAGATGTGAAGAAATGAAAGCCCCACTTTTAACATTAAACCAGTTGGGACTAATCTATGATGGAGAATCTGCATGACAGCAAGCTCTCTCAGAATGGTCCCCTGGGAGCAGAATGTTCTGTTCTCCCCACCCCCAGGGAAGAGGAGGTTCTGAGGAAATAAACTCTCAGGTTAACTGATACAAACCTTTGTTTCAACCCTTGCTACTGGAAAAACCTCCCTATAGCACATCCTAAAAATGTACCCTCTCTACCCTTGAAGGTACTGCATCAATGGATCTGTGACCTAACTGATGTGGTTAATGCCTTCCACTGGTGCAGAGTGTAACCCAATCCCCACTTTTCTCAGCCTATTTAATTACTGTTTATATTTTCCCATAGTTCCTCCAAAGAGAACCTACTCAATATGACAGAAGCCTTCTTCTGGCTCTTTTTTTTTTTTATAGTGTGTGGGTACCAGGGCAACATTTAGTTTGTCCATGTTATTCCTCCTTTTCTGAATATACGTTTTCTCATTCATATCCTCTATGCCCAAGAAAAAAAAACCCACAAAAATATGCTTACAGAACATAACTCTCTTCTTTTTAAAAAAAATAACGAAGGCTCTTGTAGTACATTGGGGTGACCTGTCTGAATAACGCCTATAAGCTGACCACCATGTAGATGGTGTAAGGAAACTGGGCTTTCTCTGTACACTGACCGCAAGACAAGTCCTAGAAGTTGATTCTTAATAAATGCCTGACATAATCTTGCTAGGTTTTCATTTTTCTTTTTTTTTTCCCTTCTAAAGAGTAGATGGCTTAAAATAAAATTTGAGTTCCAGTTAATCAAGGTTTTATGTATGATATGATTAAGTATGATTAAACAACACATTCAATGTGCTAATTATCCTACAATCATTTATTCACTAAATTGAACATTTGTGAAGCAGAGAATAGCAATACCTTTTATCTTACACATAGAAGAATTCAAGACCAAGGGGATAAACCTGAAAATTATTCCCGAATGGCAGCACTGCTTAGCTCCCATGCATTGAACTAAATAAATTATAACTTGTTACGCACCAGAAAAGATGCGAGACTAAGAGGCAGAAAAGACCTGGGTTCTAGTCTAGACTCTACCAAGAGCTGACTCAGGAAAATCACACTTTTCCTCTACGTGTCTTAGTTTTTTCCCATGAAAATATCTAGGGCAATAATTCTAGGAATCTATGCTTATTCAGGACCGTCTTTTCAATTAGCACAAGATGGTGGATTTTAAATAAACTAATGCCAAAAGCATTATTCTTCAGCATATCTGCTCTGACTGCTTCTGGGGGGAAATTTAGAATCTATTTGAAAGCATTTTTTTTCTTTCAACTTCATGTCTCTTCCTTTTATATAGCACTGTAACTATCTGAGTTAAAATAAAATGTTAAATATAATAATAGTAATAAATAATAAAATATTGGTTAAAATAAAAATTAACCAAGAACACATAACTATAACCTTCTTTCCCCCATCCCTCCCCAATTAAATTATTTCAGAGGGAAAAAATGAAAGTTCAAGTCAGAAAATGAAAGTAACTTTTAGATTTCAATTAGAATCTCATAAAAAGGTAACCTTTCCAAATATATAAACATTAATGTCTTGGATAACTTTTTACAAGAGACTAAGAAGAAAGAATACTGGATTTGGAGTCAGAAAACCTTGAGCACCAGCACTGTAATTACTTAACTGGGCAACCATAAGGGAATAAATTACTTAATCTGACTCTCCATTTACTAATGCATAAAATAAAGTGATTAATACCTGCCCTGCCTAACTTATAGGGTTGCAAAGATCAGATCAGAAAGCACAGTAAAGCTTTTTGTAATAACAACAGTAATTATTAATATGTAAATAGTGCTTTAAGGCTTGTGTCTGAGGAAAGATTCCAATTCTAGCCTTCCTGACTTCAAGGCCAGCCCTTCTATCTGCTATCTCCCCTCAGACTCCAATAAAAACTTTTTAGGAATCCTGAACCCAAGAGTCTTGGAAATAGTAATGTTCCCCAAACTACCAGCTCAATCCATGCAATTATTGTTTAGGTGAAAAATCATGGTACAGAAGTATCCCACCTTACTCACTTCTACCAGCAACAATTGCTGACCAATTACCATCAACAGTCAAAGGGGCACAAGGGACCTAGAAATGTCAGCATACCCCAGACCACCATGCTTTCATCTAGCCTAGCCATTTCCACCAAAGGTCAAACAATTGACACAGGGCACGCAAGCCAGCCTAGCAGAAGCAGCTTCCTAAGGAAGTGAGACAAGGGTCAGCAAATAACAGGCCAGTAAAACCATCACTGCCACCCTAACCTCCATCTCCCTTCAGATCCTGATGGAAGACACCCCAGGTCCCTGAATCCAAGAACCTTGGGAACAGCAGTACTTGCTGCTACAGTGTTACAGAATGCCTCCAACCATCACCCTGGGAAAGCAACCCATGTGGAAATATAGCTTGGGAACTGCTCATGCGGGTACCAGGACCACAGCTACTGACCACCCAGAAAAGAAAGTCCTTGGCACTGTCAAATGGTTCAGCTTCAGAAAATGATATGATTTTATTGATGGAAATGACACTAAAGAAGAGGCATTACCATTACTACAAGAACCGTGGGACATTTCCATCTCACTTGAAGCTGAATCTATTCTTCTTTCTCTTTCCCTTCCTTTCTATCTCACTTGTAGTTGAACCTTTTTTCTTTCCTCTATCCCTCCTTCCTTCCTTCAGCACTATTTAAATGACAGTTATTATTATTACTTTTGCTATTACCTGATTTCTCAAGAAGTTCAATCACAGCTCTGGCAGTGGGTGAAACAAAACATTCATGGGCATCTCCGCGTACCAATTTCCCCAGGTTTACATCTGTCACCCTGAGGCATAATACAAAGAAATAGGTACATGAGATGGTAACAAATACTCAACTAAATTCAGCATGGAGAAGTTTAAAGGAAATATGACCCAGGGCTTGATAAACTGAATGATTAAAAATAAGATTGAAAGTGAGCAGACAATGAAATTTACTTTGTAATGAATATCGGTGAAAGAATCTTCACTCTGACCCCCACAGGACAAAAAGGAGATAGCAATGGGAGTTATAATTTAGTTTTCAAGCCTTAAATTCATGCTTCAACTTACTCCCCAAGTCTATTGCTAACCATCTCACCTTTGGAAAACCTGGCAAAACAGGGTCAAAACCCGTATGTTCACCTCCATGTGCACTCCATTTCTGCGACTGATCTCCAAGTCACTAAAGTTCTGTTCCCTCAGTTTCCTCAACTGTAGAATAAGGACAACGTAATAGACGATTTCTAAGATTCCTTCCAGCTCTAGAGCTATAATACTATGAACTTTTGGTACCAAAATGACTTAAAGTAAGGGTGAAGTGGAGGAGAAGGGAGTAGGTTCAATTTCTTTGCCAATTTCAAATTCAGACCAAAGTACAGCCAAACTCTCTAAAAGTGGCTAACATGAGTTGATGGTCTTGATGAAGGTTATTTGCAAGATAACCACATTTTTAAAAATAATTTTTCATATTTTGCCACTTTACTTAGAAAATTTTAAAACCAATCACTGAAGGTGATAAACCCACTTTCAAGTTTTAGAAGTTCTTATCCGTCAAGGCTAAAGTGCATTAATAAAGAAAGAATACATGATACATAAATTCCCTATTTTCCATTAACCTAATAAAGGGCTCAATTCAATTCATGGCACCTTGACATTTCATTACTGTGACTTGTGTTAATGATTATATAGTAAACTTTGGAGAAGGATTCAAGGTTTACTATCTAATAATTAATACAAGGCACATATATTCTTTTTTATCCAGATATATTTAATATATTTATTAAGCTCCAGGCCCAGCATTCTATCCCCTGCACCACCTAGTGGCTGATACTGCCACTAGAATCCTGATACATAACAGAAATGATTGCTAGTCATCTGTCTTAACTGAAGTCAGTGTCAGGGCCTAAGCAAGGAAGATCTTAAATATGCTTCAGGTAGCTTGTGCTCTTTTAACTGAGTATGGATAATGAATTTAAGAGTATCTTATCATATAATAATCAAGCACATCCTTATATGATATTAGTAACAATAAGAAATAGGAATTCCATTTACAAATATATTCATTAAATATTTGGGAATTAATTTACCTAGACATACACATGAAAAGTATAAAGAGAGCCAAAAAATTACAATAATTGAAATAAAGGAAGACCTAAGCTAGAGTGACAATCAGTATTTATGGGATGGATTGTATCAATGCAATTAAAGTGATAATACTCCCTAAATTAATTTGCATATTTAATTAAAAAAGAGAGAGGTAGCACGGAGTAGTGATTAGAAAACTGACCTTGGGTTTCAGAAAGAACTGGGTTCAATTCCACCCGTGGTATACACTGGCTGTGTGACCCTGGGCAAGTTATTTAATCCTTGTGCTCAAGGCAACTAAGGAGTAAGTTGCAGAAAAGGTATCAACTTGAATTATTAAAGGGAGTTCCTTACTGGGAACAAAAAATTTTTTTTAAAAAGGTAAAAACTATTTTAAATATCAATTGATTTCCTTAAAAGACAATATGAAAGCAGTATGGTAGAATGGAGGAGCCAGAGGACCTGGGTTTGAATCTTAGTTCTGCTACAACTATGTCACTGTAGGCAATTCACTTCACATCTGCAGGCCTCAGTTTCCTCATCTGTAAAATCAAAAGGTGAACTAGATGACCTTTAAAGTCTATCATTTTTTTTTAGCTCCAAATTTATGGTCCTAGGATCTTACAAATATACCTCAATCCCAACTGCAATAATGGACATGCTTACTCAAGTTTAGCAACCCCAAAATACTCCAGGATCCAAATTAATACAGCTGATGTTTATTATTTAGTTTTTCTAAATTTAAAATTAAACCTTGTGATTTTGATTAAAAAGAAAATCTTTTGTGATTGTTTTTGTGGTTCCAAACGGGGCTAGAAATGTTGTTGTATGCAGTGCTGCTGGGAAATTAGGTCCGTGAGTGGGTAAATCATAGAGGATAATCAAGGGACAGAAAGAGAGTTTGGCCATAGTTGGTAATTTACTAAATGACAAGCTGGTGATTTAAAAGACTATCTCATCAAAGATTATAACTTGTTCCTTACAAAGAATCAAATCATCCATAGAGCTTTCAGGATTTCTCAAGTTTTCTTTTCGACTTGTTATACAGTGAACTCACACAGTGGAAAATTTAGTGAAAAAAATCATATAATAAAAGTGAACCAATATCGAAAGCCATTTAATTTCTCTGCATGGTTAATAAATGTTATATTTGATGAATGACTACCGTGACTTCTTACCCATCCACATCTTTGTCTGGTTTCAAAGCATTCAGTATCTTGTTGCTAAATGAGCTGAGGGAGAGCTGAAGAGCAAGACCGTGAATCCTAGCATCTCCATTAAGCTTCAAGATTTCATCTATAATCTAAATAGAAAAATATCAAAAACTATTTTGATTAACCAACCAATAACCACATATTTTTATTTAACAAGAAGCATTTTGATTTAAAAGTAAATTCCTGTTCTGTGCTGAATGTTGGGTAAAAAAAGTAATGCTGAATAATCATTCCACTCTACCATTTTTTTCTTTTTCTACAATATAAAATTTCAATAAAATAATACAAATGAATAACAAAATAAATAAAATAACTTTTTAAAAATATGTTTTAAAAATTTCAATAAAAACACTTTTAAAAAAACCTCAATTGCTCAGGGAATGATATTAGATTTCCTTTCCACAACTCAACTTGATTTTACAAAGACTTCTTGGGGTCCTCTCTTTGTAAAGCCCTGTGCTAATCTCCACAGGAGAAAAAAAGCTAAGTTTAAGATGTCGGCCCTGCCCTAAATGAGAACAAAAAGTTGGAAGAGAGATATAACATATAACAAATAATAAAAAACTGAGCACGACCAGTGCTTAAGAGGTACAAAGGGCTATTCTCAAAGTGTTCTCTACACTCTGCCAGTCATGGAATTTAAGTACCATAGGAAGAGGACCAAGAAGAACCTTATTATAATTGCAAAGGGCAAACCTCTATTAATAGATTCATGCCATGAGCCAAACACACAGAAAATATTCCACAAAACAGTCAAGAATGGAGGCAGATGTAGTCTTGCAAGGGCAGAGCACAGTAGGACTATCACCTTCCTTGTTTAAGATGCTATGCCACCCGGTGCAGCCTGAAATCTTTTTTGACTTGTATATCAAACTGTTGGCTCTAATTGAGCTGTTAGTCTGGGCACGTACTGCGGGAGGACCCTATCTGGTAAGGGACTCCCGGAATCACAGAATGTTAAGAGTTGGAAGGGCCCTTAGACAGTTCAAGTCCAACCCATTCATTTTTACAGATGAGGAATCTGAGGCTGTAGGGCACCTGTCCAGTTAAGTGAGTAGTCGAGCTGTAACTTGTCTTCTTGATCAAAGTCCAGCATCTTTCTATTATGCCATGTTGCCTCAGTGATTAGCTATTTTGTCAAATGTTGGCAATATTTCTCTTATCATAAATGTTTATCTAATTTTCAAAACACATTTCCTGGCAAGTCTGATAAAAAGCTGAAGACTAAATACCAATGGAGCAATGTAAGCAAATCAAGAATTGCTGGCCTACTCCACCTCAGAGAAGAGGCCCCTTTTCATGTCTCCCATCCAACCCCAAATATAAAAAAAAAAATGGGTAAGGCATGCTGACCTTACTAACTACTTCTGAAGGTGAATCTCTGCACCAATAGAAGCAACTAGATGCTTGGCCCTAATGAAAATAACATAGGGTTATTTAAGTACTAGGGAACTTAAGTGTCACTGGAGATGGAGTTCAGGGCCTAGAGTCAGAAAGACTTATTTTCCTGAGTTCAAATTTGGCCTTCAGACACTAGCTACGTGACCCTGGGCAAGTCACTTAATCCCGTTTGCCTCAATTTCCTCATCTATAAAATGAGCTGGAGAAGGAAACTGAAAACCATTCCAGTATCTTTGCCAAGAAAACCCTAAATGGGGTCATGAAGAGTCACACATGACTGAACAACATTTAAGGTATTCTATTTCCTCTTCTGTCAATCTGAGCAGTTTATATTTTTGTAAATATCCACCCCTTTCACTTAAATTGTCAGTTTTACTGGCATATAATTGGGCAAAATAACTACAATAATTGCTTTAATTTCATCATCATTAATGGTGCATTCATGCCTTTCATTTTTGATACTAGTAATTTGATTTTCTTCTTTTCAAAAATCAAATTAACCAATAGTTTAAATATTTTATTGGGTTTTTTTTCATAAAACCAGCTCCTAGTTTTATTTATTAGTTCAATGGTTTTCTTACTTTCAGTTTTATTACTCTTCCTTTGACTTTCAGGATTTTCATTCTGGTGTTTAATTGGGGATTTTAAATTTGTTCTTCTTCTAGTTCTTTTAGTTGCATGTCCAATTCATCCATCTGCTCTTTCTCTTTTTCACTGACATGCTCTTTCAGAGATATAAAAATTTCCCTAACTACTGCTTTGGCTGAATCCCACAAATTTTGCTATGTTGTCTCCTCTAAGGAAAACAGAACACTACTGCTGCAGACTGTTATCTGTCCAGAAGCTTATTCTTCTAAGAAGTCACGTAAGAGAGATGTTAACCAAAGTTAACCCCACTGTTTGAGTTTTCTATGTATCAACTGGTTGATAAGGCGGTAAAGGGAAGGAGTTGCATCTTGTATCTAACCTCTATCTCATCAGAGTAGCTGCTTTGCACAAAGGCCTTTAGTATAACATAAGCAGCTGGGCGGAGCCAAGATGGTGGAGTGAAAGCAGTGACTTGCTTGAGCTCTCCCCCAAACCCCTCCAAATACTCATAAAAAAGTGGCTCTAAACAAATTCTGAAGCAGTAGAACCCACAAAAAGACAGAGTGAAACAAATTTCCAGCCCAAGACAACCTGGATGATTGATCAGAAAGGTGTATCGTGCCGGGCTGGGAGCGCAGCACAGTGCAGCGTAGGCGCGCAGGCCGCAGTGAACCTGGAGCAGGCCTCAGAGGACTGAATCTCGGGCAGCTGTGGAGGTTTCCAGACTCCTCAATCCACTAATGCCAAAGACAACTTAGAAGGTCAGTGGGAAAAGTCTGTTTCTGTCAGTGCTGAGACAGGAAGGTGGGGTTTCAGCTCCATTCCCCAAGAGTGCAGCCCGGGGGGGGGGGCAGCTGCTTCCCGAAGCTTCCAGCCCACAGACTGAGGGGGAAATCCAGTGGCTGATCAGAGAGGGATTGCAGGGATCTCTTTGCCAGTGCTGAGGCACGAATCTCTTGCTTTGCCCCTGTTTGGATCTGGGTCACAGTTCTGGGCGGCGGTGCTGGGGTGAGGAGGAACACTGGCGTGGTAGAGCTTGGAATGGCTGTGGAGAGGAACCCTTCCTCACAGTTACAGGACAGAAAGGAATACTTGTGGTCACAGGCCAGGAAAGGAGTAAACACCTTGCCTCTTATCACACCACCTTGGAAGAACTGAAAATTTACAGGTCCCTACAAGTATCTCTGAAAACAGCTGTACAAACCCCTGAAGCTTGGGACAATACATTCTCCACATTGGAAGCAGATTCATACCTTAACAAAGAGTTTAAAACTCAAGTAATTGGCCAGGATCATGAGCAACCAGAGCAAAAAGAGTCAGACTATGTTATCTTACTTTGGTGAAAAAGAAGATCAAAATATACAACCAGAAGAAGACAACAAAGTCAAAGCTCCTACATCCAAAGCCTCCAAGAAAAATATGAATCAGTCCCAGGCCTTGGAAGAGCTCAAAAGGGATTTTGAGAAGCAAGTAAGGGAAGTAGAGGAAAAACTGAGAGTGATGCAAGAAAATCATGAAAAACAAGTCAACAGCTTGCTAAAGGAGACCCAAAAAAATACTGAAGAAAATAACACCTTAAAAAATAGCCTAACCCAAATGGCAAAAGAGGTCCAAAAAGCCAATGAGGAGAAAAATGCCCTAAAAAGAAAAATTGGCCAAATGGAAAAGGAAGTCCAAAAGATTACTGAAGAAAATACTTCCTTAAAAATTAGAATAGAGCAATTGGAAGATAGTGACTTTATGAGAAATCATGACACAGTAGAACAAATCCAAAAGAATGAAAAATTAGAAAACAATGTGAAATATCTCATTGGAAAAACAACTGACCTGGAAAATAGATCCAGGAGAGAGAATTTAAAAATTATTGGACTATCTGAAAGCCATGATCAAAAAAAGAGCCTAGACATCATCTTTCAAGAAATTATCAAGGAAAACTGCCCTGATATAGTAGAACCAGAGGGCAAAATAGAAATTGAAAGAATCCACAGATCTCCTCCTGAAAGAGATCCCCAAAGGAAAACTCCTAGGAATATTGTAGCCAAATTCCAGAGTTCCCAGGTCAAGGAGAAAATATTACAAGCTGCCAGAAGGAAACAGTTCAAGTACTGTGGAAACACAATCAGGATAACACAAGATTTAGCAGCTTCTACATTAAAGGACCGCAGGGCATGGAATATAATATTCCAGAGGGCAAAGGAGATAGGATTACAACCAAGAATCACCTACCCAGCAAAACTGAGTATAATCCTTCAGGGGAAAAAATGGTCATTCAGTGAAATAGAGGACTTTCAAGCATTCTTGATGAAAAGACCAGAGCTGAATAGAAAATTTGACTTTCAAATACAGGACTCAAGTGGAACATGAAGAGGTAAACAGGAAAGAGAAATCATAAGAGACTTATTAAGATTGAACTTTTACATTCCTGCATGGAAAGATGATATTTATAACTCATGAGACCTTTGTCAGTATTAGGGTAGTTGGAGGAAAAAATTATATGTATGTATATGTAGATAGATAGAGGGCACAGGGTGAGTTGAAGATTAAAGGGTCATATCTGGAGAATAAAATTAAGGGATGAGAGAGGATTATACTCGGAGAAGAAGAAAGGGAGAGGTAGAATGGGGTAAATTATCTCACAAAAAAAAAACAGAAAAGAAAAGTCTCTTACAGTAGGGGAAACGGGGAAGGTGAGAGGAATGAGTGAATCTTATTCTCATAGGATTTGGCTTAAGGAGGGAATAACAACACATTCAATTGGGTATGGAAATCTGTCTTACCCTACAGGAAAATAGGGGAGAAGGGGACAGAGAGAAGGGACAAGAGAGCAGGGGATGATAGAGAGAGGGCAGATTGGGAAAGGGGTAATCAGAAGTAAATACTTCTGAGGAGGGACAGGGTCAAAAGAAAGAATAGAATAAATGGGAGGGCAGGATAGGATTAAGGGAAATAGAGTTAGTTTTTCACAACATGTCTACTATGGATGAGTTTTGCATAACTGCACATGTACAACCTATATTGAGTTGCTTGCCTTTTCAATGAGGGTGGGTGGGGAGGGAGGAAGAGAGAAAATTTGAAACCTAAAGTTTTAAAAACATATGTTTAAAAAAATGTTTTCACATGCTACTGGGAAATAAGAAATACAGGAAATGGGGTACAGAAGTCTATCCTGCCCTACAGGAAAATAGAAGGGGAAGGGGATAAGAGAAGGGGAGAGAGATAGAAGAGATGTCAGACTAGGGGAAGAGATATTCAGAATGCATGCCATCTTGGGGTGGGAGGAGGGGGGAGATGGGGTATAAATTTGGAATTCAAAAACTTGTGGGAGTGAATGTTGAAAGCTAAAAATAAATAAATTTATATTAAAAAAATAACATAAGCAAAGTGAAAATAAATAAAATAATAGAATTTTACACTTAGAAGGGCCTTTAGAGATCATTCAACTCAACCTCATCATTTTAAAGATGAAAACACTGAGCCATAGTGAAGGAACAATACCAAGGTCACACAGGTGAAATTGAAAGACTATTTCTATCAAGTGGAAAAGATATATTCCTTTTAAATTCTTAGCCACAAGAAAGGGCTGGATCTCTTCCAGCTTGGCAATATTAATAAAAGGAAGACAAGAGACATTACCTCATCTTCACTGCTGTTAGGAGGCAGGCAAACATGAGTAATGTTCAGACCAGCCTGAAAAGAAAGAATCAAGTTACTTTAAAAACCTAAACATACAATTCAAAATTATAAGGGGACAAAAATCTCCAAGCCTCACCTCTTCTGCCAAGTTCTGGTTTATCTCCTGCATCCAGTTATCATCACCTGCCTTAAGGGGGGAAAGGAGAGGAAAGTACATTAAAACACACATAAAGAAACAATACATAATTATTAAGAATAAACTTCCAGAGAAAGAACTGATGGAGTTTTGAATATAGATTGAAGCATCCTTTTTTTTTTTTTAAACTTTTTGTTGGATTTTTTTTTTTGGTCTGTATTTTCTTTTGCAACATGGCTATTACGGAAATATATTTTGCATGACACATAAAAAATGAATGTTAAAAAATTTTTACATGTAATTAAGAAATATTTCATGAAATACATAAAAGTATATGGGGGGAAAGAATAAGTTTTTGATTATATTCGTTCAAAAGAGCCCACTGAATTGCATTTCATTTATTGTCAAACCTCTGATGCAAACAAAGCAGTATCAACAGCACTTTACAGATGAGAATACTGAGGTCAGAAGTCCATGAACTAGAGACCAGGGGAGAGCCTACATCTTGGGTCTCTTAACCTCTTCTCAACTCCCTAACATTATTTCTATGCCTTACAAGGGACATGAGCACCTAATGCTGTGACTGGCAGATAACAACAACAATAATAATAGTAATAATAAAAAATACCTTAGCATTTATATAGTGCTTTAAGGTTTGCAAAGGACTTTACAAATATTATTTCATCTGATCTCATAACAACCTGGGAGGTAGGTGCTATTATTATTCCCATTTGACAGATTAGGAAAGTGGAGCAGAAGGAGATGCAGTTATTCTTTCCTCAACACGACTCTCCCCATCATTCTATAAGTATCCCAAGGCATAATAAATTAAATGGGATTTTTTTTTTGGAGTTTTGCAGATGACAGATGAAGACCAGAAGACAACAGGAAAAGTTTATTAACTCAGATATGCACAAATATATGTATAGCACTGTATAATATCAATATATTTTATCTTTTAATATTGTAAATACCCCATAAAAGAAAAAGTTCAGAGGCAGGTAGGTGGCGCTGTGGATACAGCACCGGTCCTGAAGTCATGAAGACCAAACACTTGACAGTTAATTAGCTGTGTATGGCCCTGGGCAAGTCACTTAACCCCAATTGCCTAAAAAGAAAAAAAAAACTGCAAAAAAAAAGTTCAGATTTCTTCTCTGGTACGAAGGGAGGGCCAAAGAATTTTACATGGATTTTCCAGATCTCGGGGCACCACGCCCTTAACTCCCAAGATGTGGATGGGAGAACTATACTTAATATTTATTGAACTGAGTAAAAATTAAATCTAAGCATACAGAAAGGTTTCAAGTGTAGGTGAACACTCTTTTCTCAGTACTCACATTCATCAGAAATTCTTAACCTGGGGTCCACAGACCCTTCAGATTTCTGGAGGGGAGTGGGGAAAGGGTATCTAGTGAATTAGGATGGGGAAAAAACTCCCTACATATTTCTTTTCACTAACTTCTAACAAAAACTTAACATTTTCTTCATTTACTCACAAACATTATTCAAGAGAGTCCATAATACATAAAATGGTGAAGAACTTCTGGCTTAAGTAAGAAACTACTTTCTTTTCAGAGCCTTTGATGGGGTACACACAGGGACCCTCTACTACCAGCACAAAGTGTGACGGAAGGGCAGGCAGCAGGTAGCCCAGCCAGTCAAAATAGAAGCAAACAGGGCCAGGGGCAGACACAGGTAACTAGCAAACAGCTGAACATTTACAAAGACAGAAAAGTCACTTTGAGATGTAAATGAATTTGGGAGAGTTTGGGTGCCCAAGGTCAAATTTAGAATGATTTATCAGCAAGATTACTGTAGTGTCCAAACAAGAAGGGACTGGATCTTCCAAAGGCAGCATTAGTTTACTCAGTACAAGGAATTCTTTCTTAGGAAGTGAAGTGACTCCAGGGTCCACAGCTCTGAGACCAAAGGGTGCTTAAAACTTGAAAGAGTAGGCTTGAGCTTCACGTATACAGTGCGGTGTGCTGGGCTGAACACAGATAAAAATGCATACAGAGCCAGCTCAGGGCCACTAGGTGGCACCATAGTGCACAGAGCCCTGGGCCCGGAGTCAGGAAGACTCATTTTCCTGAATTCAAATCTGTCCTCAGACACTTACTAGCTGTGTGACCCTGAGCAAGTCACTTCACCCTGTTTTACTCAGTTTCCTCATCTGTAAAATAAGCTGGAGAAGCAAATGGCAAACCACTGCCAAGAAAACTCCAAATGAGGTCATGAAAAGTCAAACATGACTGAAATGAATGAACAACAGAATCAGCTGAACTCCCACCTTCTAGACCAAGGAACTCCATGCAGGGGAAGAGTGAAGGATTCCATCAGAAAAAATAAGGATATATGATTGGGGCAGCTAGGTGGCACAGTGGATAGAGCACCAGCCCTGGAGGCAGGAGGAACTGAGTTCAAATCTGGCCTCAGACACATGACATTCACTAGCTGTGTGACCTCGGGCAAGTCACTTAACCCTGACTACCTCACCCCCCCCAAAAAAAAGAAAGAAAAAAAAAAGAAATGATATATGTTTAAACATGTTTCATATTATAATAAGATAATTTATGGTTCAATTCTATTATTGCCATTTACTCAAAATAAGCAGGGCATAGAACTAGCTAAAGTCCACAAAATTAACCCAAGATATCAGCTACATTAGTTGGTTAGTTCCTATTTTGTCAGTCTGCAAATTTACAGCTTTAGACATCAGCTACAGCTCACTACTGTTTTACCTGGTACTGATTTTCCCCTTCAGCTCTCTGTTCTTTGGTCTGTAAACCATTGCCTTCCCTTATTTACTCTTTGAAATTCTATTGTAACTATATGTAACTATAAATTATATAATGTTGCTGAAAATGCAGCTCAGGGGTGACATATACAGTGAGTCTCTGCTCTGACTGTTAGAAACTGGTTTTTAATCATATCTCTGTACCATTGTTGATTCTCAAATAATTTTGGTCACAGTAGGCACTTAAATACCTATTGAAGCTTAATTTTTTTCAGAGTAAAAATAGGTAAATGTCTTTCATTATGTTCTAGAACAATCCTATACAGAAGTCTCAACTCACTAAAAAAAAATTATCTAGTTTATACCCAAGTACTACAGAGATTTAGGTTGCTTTAAAAATAGGGAACCCTAGGAAAGGCGGAGCTCCTCTGGTGGGTTTGGCCTGGGGCCTGGGAGTTCGGCTTGCTGGGCAGGCTGCTGCACATGCATAGCTCTGGTATGGGCCCTGGGGATAAACTTGCAGGAATTATCACTCTGTTGTACTGATTGAGATAACCGCTAGAGTCCAGTGTACATTGAAAGTGGAGCATTTAAGATTATCTTGTTTTTTTGGATGATCAGCACCAGGCAATGGGGAAGAACAAAGTGGAAAGGACAGAAGATCAAGAATGTATTTCATATTGCCAGCAAGAATGTGAAAAATAAATTTAAAAATAAGCAAAACCAGTCGCCACAAATCTTAAGAAGATAAACACTGTGAATGAAGAAAAAGTTAGAACTGTGAATAAGGCATTCATGGATACCCAAGAAGAGCTTGCACAATTCTCAAAAAAGCTGTCACTTAAACCACTGCCCAAACACCTCATTTCTCAGTGCTCTGAAGGTGAAATAATTAGTGTAGATGATGTTACAAGATTAATGGCTCAGTTGTAATATATATTGGAAGTATTTGGATTCTAAAAAAAAAATGGACCAACAAAACTAGTGTTTGTACAATTTCATTTTCTTGTTAATGTACAGGCATTGGACATTTAAATGTGAACTACACAGAGAGAGCTTTCCTAAAATCTAGGAAAGTGCAATGTCAAGAAGTCAACAAAACACGAAAAACCTGAAAATACTAAAAACAAAAGGCACTTCACAAAATCTGTTCACTGAAATAATTCATGCATCACTTTATATCCTTCATTTTGCAAACGGCAGTGAAAAACTGATTGGACTCGAAGGGCATAAAGAAAAAATATGAACAGATGGTGGGAGTAATGGTTATATAATTATATTTTAAGTGATAAGAGACCTAGGTCATTTATTTTGCAATGACCTAAAAAAGGCTGCTTAGTATTGACTTGCATTCCATACAAGGGAAAATGACAGGTCTTGGGATGATGATGAGAATAATGATATGATTAACCTCCCTCTTTCCCCCCAACAACAATTTTGTGACTGTAACTTTGTTCTGGGGAAAAAACCAACCAAACCAAAAAACGTGCAGTAACTTTTTGCCCTGAAGAGATCAAAGTCTTTTGTTCTTTTAGGTCCAGTTTTAGTAAGTAAATTAAACAACAGCAACAACAACAACAACAAAAAGGAAACACCAGACCTGTCTGTTCCTTCTTGATCTCTTTGATTTCAAAACTAAGCGTTGACAAGAAAATTTTAAGATGGGCACATATGGTAAAACTGATCTGAAACAATGCTCTCAACCTTACCTGGACAACTGCAAGAACCGGCTTAAAGGCTGGGCTTCCTTTTTGCAATAAACTCAGAACTTCTTTTGAATTCTGAATTATTTCTCTGCAATGAGAAGAAAACACAATTCAGCTAAACATCTATTAACAAAAGATATATTTCAACAATGTACTAATTTGTCAAAAAATGTATTGTTTCTGTCCTTCGTTCTCAAAGATCAAAATGACATCATTGTTAGAGTCTAGTTACAGTATGTCTGACTGTGGCTGATCAGAACAAGATGAGGTCACAACGCTCCACCCCGGGAGGGCACAAATAGTCTACAGTCTCTAAATTTGTGCTTCTCTTGCTTCTTTTGAGCTGTGTCAATTCCGCTTTGCTCACAGAGTACAGCACCTTCTCTGATGAGGGCATGCCATGCTAGGTGGTCCTGTGCTAGTGTTTCCAATGTCACACAATCAATTCCTGAGTTCTTAAGTGACAGTGTTCTTGTATTACTTTTTCTGACCACCATGTGAACGCTTCCCCTGTGTGAGTTCTCTATTAAATAGAGATTTAGGCAAGCGTTACATTTGGTATTTGAACAACGTGGCTAGCCCATTGGAGTTGCATTCTCTGCAGTAGAGTTTGAACGCTTGGCAGTTTAGTTTGAGAAAAAATCTCAGTGTCTGGTACCTTATCCCGCCAGGTGATCTTCAGAATCTTCCTGAGACAATTCAAAGGGAAGCACTTTAGTTTCCTGGAATGGTGCTGGTATACTGTCCAGGTTTCACAAGCATACGACATAGAGGTCAGCACAATGGCTCTGTAGACCTTCAGTTTGGTAGTCAGTCTAATACCTCTTCTGTCCCACACTTTCCTTTGGAGCCTCCCAAACACTGAGCTAGCTCTAGCAATGTGTGCATCAACCTCATTAAAAAAAGGTGAAATAACATGGGGTGAGAAGAATGAATTTTAAGGTGGCAGAAAAAAAGAACAATAATTAGCAGTAGCAGAAAACATTTATTAAGCGCCAATTATGTTCAGATCACAATACTGGACACCTAAAGAGACGAAAAATTTGGTGATTAGCACCTACTCTCACAGAGCTTACAGTTTAATAGGGAGATAAGACAACAAAGAAGAGGTCTTGACATGACCTATTCCATAAGTGCACTGAAGAGGTACAACACAAAAGTCTGAGAGGGAAAATCATTACCAAGGATTACCAAAGAGAAGTTTAATATCTTCTGATCCATATATGTATTTTTTCATCTCTATGAAAAATGTTAAAATAACATCTCCACATATTAAAGTTTTCCTTCATGAAGGTATGAGAAAGGAAAAAGGGGGCTTTTGCAGGGCTCAGCAAAGTGTCTAGGAAGCACACAGCTTAACAAACGCTTATGGAGGATTAATATTTTATAGAAGCCTACATTTTTCAGTCACATGGTAACTGAAAAAGGGTAGTGAATACAAGATTGCCCTACATTAGTTGATTATAAAAAGCATTTGATTCAGTAGAGCAAAAAGCTCTCTTTCTAGTAAGATGTCTCCCATGCAAATGTAAAAATCATAAATGATTCCTGTAAAGATGTAATAAGAGAGGCTCGATTATTAATAACAGATCAGGCAGAAACAGTAAGATGTATGCTGAAAAATGTTTGCCACTGCTATAGATGATGTTTAGTGTACAGTTCAAATGGAAAAGGGTTTTCTTTAAATTAGGTGAGGTACTCCAGATGTTCATGTTTGTGCCTTATGTTCTGCTGACTTTGCATGAAGTGCTACAGATGGGCCAGATCTTCTTAAATGTAATCCGTAACTACTCTTAAAAGTTTGGTTTACCAACCTATTCAGGAAAATCCAAACAGATGAAGAATGTGTCTTAATCAGACTATGACAGGCAGTAACAGGAAATAAATTTGGAAAGTTGGATTGGAGTCGGATTGTGTGGGACCTTATACACTCAGCTGGGGAATTTCTGTTTTATTCTAGAGGCAATGAGACCTACTAAAGATTTTTGAGCAGGGGAGTGATAAGGTAATATTTACATCTTAAAGAATATTAATTTGGTAGCTGTGAAGAATGAATTAGAGAAAAGAGAGACTAGGGGGAGGGAGGTTATTGCAATGGTCCAGAAATAAGGTCCTGAACTTTGGGGTAGTGGACACATGAGAGAAAGGGGCAGAAGTGAGAAATATTATGGAAAAGGAATTAACAGGACAAGAAAATTGACAGGATGCGGATGGGTGAAGTAAAATTAAATATAACTGTGAATTTGTAAATTTGGGTGATCAGAAAGATGGTGGTAGTCTCAAGAGAAACAGAGAGATTTCAAAGAAGGGTAGAATGGGTTTAGTGTATTAAGAAGATGAATTCTGTTTTGGAAACAATGACTTTAAGACATATATAGATATAGATGTCCAAGAGGCAACTGGTGATATGGGGGCGGAGTTCAGGAGCTTAGAACAGAATACTACCTTTGTAGAGATGACAATTGAAACAACAGGAGATGGTAAGATTACCAAAAGAAAGAGGTTTTATACACAGAGAAATGACTCCATGAGAGTCAACCACATTTAGTGAGCAAGAAAGCTATCATGATCTCACAAAGGACCTCAGAGAAGGAGTCATAGGATAAGTAGGAAAAGAACCACAAAGGACCAGTTTTGCTCAAGTCAAGGAGAAGAGTTCCATCTGCCAAGATAAAAGTTTAACTTTTTGTTAATGAGCTTAACTCTGTCAAGAGGCAGAGTCTGGACAACCTGAGTTCAAATCTACTCTTAGTCACTCACTAGAAGTATGACCACAGGCAAGTCATTTTACACCAATTTGCCTCAATTTCCTCAACTGTGAAAATGAGGTTATAATAATGATCCTACCTCCCAGGAATGTTTTGAGAATCAAGTAAGATATTTGTAAAAAGCATTTATCACAGTGCCTGCCACATAATAAGGAGTATATAAACGCCAATTTCCTTTCCTTTCTACTTCTGAGAGAAAGGAATAGCTGAAATAATCTGAGCATGAGGAATGAGAAAAGACTATCAGATTTAGGAGTTAAGGAAACATTGGTCACCTTGGAGAGGCCAGTTTTAATCTAGAGCTGGTTTCAAAAGACAGATAGCAATAGGTTGAGAATTGAGGGGGAGGTGAAAATCTGGAGATAAATGAATACAGATGACTTTTTCCAGAAGTTTGGTTGTGAAAGAAAAGATACAGGGCAATGAATGACTTGAAAATTGTAGCAGAGTCAATGAAAAGTGTTGTTTCATGATAAGGAGAACTAAGCATGGCTTTGGGATCAGGAAAGGAGTCAGTACCTAGAGATCTACTAAGATGAAAGGGAATGACCAAAGGGGCAAAGTCTCAGAGCTGATAAGATCTGGGGCACAGAGGGTTACCTCTTCTTCAGAGACCTGAATCAACTAGCAGAGAAGAGGAAAAAAGAACAGAGATTTCGAGAGATGGAGAAGAGGGAGCATCATTAGTTGCAGTAGGAGTAGAGTTCTAAGAGGCAGAAGTAAGTAAGAAACTATATACCTCAAATGGGGCATGAGGAAAAGGGAGAAAGCATAGAAAGATCAAATACACAACTTTCCCTAGGATCTGCCTTGCTTAACTTCAAGCAGGCTGGGACAGATACAAGCTATACACTGAATTCTTTAAAGACAGTTACTAATAAGGAGGGCAGCTCTGCGTTGTGCAATTTTTGAATATTTGTTTTTAACAAATATTAATAAATTTTAACAAATGTAACAGATAAGAGCACCATTCCCGGAGGATTTATTCATTGGGATGCATGAAATTTGTTAATTGAAATAATTAATGTTCCTCATTACAATATTTAGCAAGGTACATTAGAGCCTATTACAGAGTTATTAAATATTCTACTCAGTAGGAATTTGGTATCCCAAATTTCTCTAGTTATAGATAAAGTCACTTAACCCTGGTTTGCCTCAGTCTCCTCATCTGTAAAATGAGCTGGAGAAGGAAATGGCAAAGTACCCCAGCACCTTTGCCAAGAAAACCCCAAATGGGGTCATGAAGACTGAAAAACAACAAAAGTCACAAATGGTGCAACAACGCTTGATTACTTGATGGCTTTTTGCCTAGGCTGTGGATTAGGCAGTCCAGTGCTACTCTTCCCTCTAGCTCCAGACTTGCAAGTCATTTTACTTTAACTAGCATCTCCAGAAGAGAGCTGACAGGAAATAAAACGGAGACTTACATGACATCAACCATTTCTCTTGGGCACTTGTTAAACATCCCCACCCAAGCTTGTTTGGGCAAGCAGGTTACAGGCAATAGCCAAAAGAAGGGGTAGGGAGTATCTTGGACTTCAGCCACCCTTCTGCTCTAAGGTACAATTCCTTAAGATCAGAAACAAGGTTCTTAAAGAGCCTTCCAACTAGATTCTAACACTTTTTCCTTTCTTGAAGTTTAATGATGATTGTTTAATTAGTGGTAATGCCATATAACTGTGGATGATAAAGGAATCTCCCTTCTCTTGACGTCCCAAAGCTGAGATTTTATACACTGCTTGCCAATGAGCAGGTCACATTTACTTTCTGGAACTCAATTCTGAGGAGATGGGGTAGATATGGGGAAAAGGTTCAGACTTGGTGGTCTTTAAGGTCCCTTCCAACTTGAAGTGTGTGCCTCTATAACAAGTTTATACATACTATTTAGATTTTATAACATTCATTCTACTTAGTGGATAAGGGAGTGGAGGGGGAGATAAAATACGGTGGATGAGGTAAAGGACTCCGGAAGCACAAATGTGACAGCTCATACTCATTTCCATATCAATTATCTTTTAAATTTAACCAAAGATCCTTTTTAAAAAAGTCTATAAGGCTCACATTTAATCATCCAACGTGCAAGTAGGCCGATGTCTTTGGATGGTACCTGGAGGGGAATAAAGCCTTAAGGCTGGAAAGGTTAGAAATGGTGAGGTTATATTTAATTCTAGAGGTAAACAGGTAGGTACTAGAGCTCCCTGAGTTTTACTTTTGAGAGATTTCAAGAAAGGCAGAGTAAATAGCTAACAAACGGCATTTACTTGCTTCTAAGTTTAGAAAATTTTAGAAGCATAGTCTGACAAACTGGAATCAGAGTTTA